CGTGGATGATAGATTTGATATCCAAATCCAATTCATTATGGATTTGAGCAAAATTCATTGTTTGCTTGCACTTTTTTAGGGACCAAATTCGTGGTACTCACGAATTTTGAGGATCCAAGTACGTGGATCCCATGGACTTATAAATCCCATATGTTGATATGGGATTTGGAATGTCCATAAATCCATGATGAAATTTTATTATATACTTTTGATGAAATTTTATCCATATACTTTGGATTTCCAATGTCAAACACTTCATCCGCTGCGATAAAATAAAAAATCAAATATAAGTAATACATTTGATAAAAAATTAAAATGAAGAAAAATTAAATACTATAAATATCAATAAATCTGAAAAGTCTCTAGAGCGCATCATCCGAGACGATTATAATGATTTCAAACAAGTTTGATGAACTTTAACAATTTATTTCTCTTAGCTTGTAAGCTATTCATTTCATTTTCAAGTTCTATATAGAAATTTGATAATATATTATAATAATAATAATAAATTAATGGATTACTAGTTGGAATGTTGAAAACTTATCCATATATACCTTTTGCATTGTATAAAGATAATATTTTTTCTTGCTAATTTAGGTTTTTATTACGAATGCTAATTTTAGTTAATGATTGATCGAGTCTCTTTAATTATGATGTAAGTGGATCTATTCCTGAAAATGTAAAATGGAGAGCAATGGTTTTGTAATATCAGCAATGTGCAATAGTTAGAGAGATTATAAATAATTGATAACACATCGAGGTTCATAGCATCAAAAGACTTATTTTGTGTTTCAGAAAGAAACTGATAAGAACTCACCACATCTTTAAATGACATAAAAATGGTTCTCTTTTTCCCTTAATTGCATGTGGCATGAGAAAACATTAAATTGTAATATGTATATAATTATGCTAATACCTATATTTGTACTTATATTCAAGTTTTAGTGACCTAATTGAACCACTATGTAATTGTTTAGATAATTCTCTATGGGGAATATTTCTTTGAGTTATAAAATTATAAAATAAAAAGATTAAATATTAATTATTAGCCAAATATTTTCCGCATTCTTTTCCAGTTAATAATTTTGTTAGTAATATTGACTTAGCGACATGATACTAACTTGGAGCAGACACATAGAGGTCAACAATTTAACCAAGAAAAGAGTTATAAAACTACAAAAAAATTGGCTAACTATTAGTAATTCAATAGATTTGTCTAATAAAAAATATTTGACTAATAATTAGTATTTATCCAAATTAAAATGTAATCACCAAAAATATGAGTCTAAATAATATATGCAAAATCGTTATGATTGCGGGTACTAACATCAACATGAAAACCTTAATTAATTACTTAAACTTTGTTTATGGTTCTAATATAAATGCAATTAGTAAACTATAATTCACACCATGATGGACGTTACATTGCAAGATATCAATTAATTATATCGGCTAGCTGTGCAGGTTAATTGCATCACGAGATCAATATTGTTCATCACGAGATCAATTGCATCACGAAGCCAGCTAAGAAATTACAATTTGACCAAAGAGTCCTTCCGATCTATGCGCAAGGCCAGGAAAAATGTAATTGAGGCTTGGAATAGAATCTCTTTATAGTTACTAGCTTTTGCCGGACCTGTTGGTTGGTCGGATATAATTTATTTTATTTGTCACTATTTTTTTATAATCACTTTATTAGAGCTTTGATTATAGAACTTCAGGTTGTTTCTTTGTTTCACCTGCACATGCGCACAAACGGACCTTTTAAGGTCTGTTAGTCCTTTTGAGGTCAAGTCAAGATATGCTCTAGAGAGATAAGTGGTATTTCAAGTTTTAGAGAGAGAATCCAACTTGCTTAAATGCTCTTACCTGCTCCCTATTTATACCCGATGTGGATCTGACAACCTTATCAGAGTATTTAATGTCTTATTTTCCCAAACGGGCATGCGCCCCGACCAACGCTCTTGATCACGCACAACGCCACAAAGGCACATTCGCCACCAGACTGCCAGTATCAATACTGATTTGGACAGACACTTACTTTGTCGTCATGCGCCTCCGAGTAGGGGTTTTATCCTTGCCCAACCCAAAATAAACATGGTGGGTTTTATTCTTCCTGGACTCGCTCTTTCATTGATGCTATGTTAAGTGTGCCTAGCCTCATGTATTAATCTCCCCTAACACAATTCATTCATATTTTCAAATGATTTTGGGTACGCTCAATTATTTACTAAAGAATGGAAAATATATTTGTACTACTTGATAATATTTACATTGATAATAATGAGTTCATATGTAATTTTCTTGATTGGTTATCCTAAGCTACTAATTTCTATATATTCCATATTAAAAAATTTGCACGATTTATTGGTGCATATATGCATTATTAACTATAAAAAATACCATTATTCTTAACTTGTTTCTTTATTAATCCAAACAGAACTAAGACAGTTATACATTAAAATAGTAATTACAAACTTTAAACGATTAGCCTATTGCTAATATGAAAGCATAAAATTCATCATCTAAAGGGTTCAAACTTTATAGTCAACAATCATCTAAAAGGATAACAGTTAAGAACACATAAATTATTAGATATTAATTTATAACTAATATATATCTTTAAGAAGGTTGGGAGTTGTTAAGAGCTAACATTAATATATGATGATAGTTTGGGTATTATAATCGTCATATTTCAAATCTTCTAAATATGTTTTAGAATTTTGATTAAACAAAGCACATGGCTCAAACATAAAATCAATTATTGTACAATTATATAATATGAGTTTAGTGTTGCATTTGGTATATAAAACCAACACCTATGAAATTTGTTAACTCACACATTTGGAGATCATAAAAATGTATATTAAATATGTGGATCAATGGGTAAAATATTTTTGCCAAATTTATTTGTCTAATGATTTAGAAACATTGTCCAGGAGTTGAGATATAGATTGGATGGGTTCGCTGCTACTTTCATATATTACCGTCTTATTCTCTCTCCCTTCCTTCCTTCCTTCCTTCCTTCAATTAGCTTAAAGCTTTAATGAGATTCTTATATCTAATCTCGCCCAAAATAACATGGGGTCCGGATCTCAACCTCTAGACGTAGACGTATTTGTTCTACTGAATCTTATATTAGCTAAATAAGAAATTGAATCATGGCGAAGGTATAAGAAAATTTAAGAATATTTTGATTAAAGGTGATCTTGTGTCATTTACTGAGATGCTAATGTGTATTGAAGGGTGTTTGTACAACTTGGTTCATGTTTTCAGTTTAGTTACTGTCGATTTCATTGTATGTTGAAGCAATTTATTATGCATTGCCGTTACCCAATTGAAAGAACTTTGTCATATGTTCTATTGAGCTCAAATATGCTGCTAGATGGGAGCCAACATTTGTTTGAATTTTATTGATGGTGAGAGATGGAGAAGAAGCGGAAAAGAAAGATAGAAAATAGGTTGGAAGGAGAGGTTATGTGACTATTCATTTGTTCCTCTTAATTTTCCTTTTTTGATAGTGAATATTTTCCTTCTTTTTTATTTAAGTTAATTAGCATAAGACGCAAAAAAATTCCAAGCTGTCAAGTTAACACAAAAAATATCACGTTAGTGTATCTAGTTTATATAGTCAACATAGGTACGATGGTGGTGTTAAGTTTAACATATTTCATGTATGGAATGACATATTTGTAGTATAAAAACTGACTACTTTTGTCACAAAGGTCGACGTTTTGGTTATGCATGTGTATTTTTCAAGTATTGAAAACCATACCATACCGGCGGTTCAACCATAAAAACCTCATACCTAAAGCAAAATCAGTAGGCGGTATTTAGTGGTATTAAAAAGATTGAAACACGATTAAACCATGGTTTCAGCATAAAATACTTTACTGTTGACTTTTCCGGTACACCTTTTCAATCCTTGATATTTTGTCTAAACTAAACAACACGTACAATTAAATATTTAATAACCAAACCAGTGTTACTTGAGTTTGATTTCAGGATTAATTTCATTCTATAAGATATCACTAACTTCAAATAAAATATAAAACATCATATACCGAATATGCATCTAGTGTTTAATTAAAGATATTGCAACAAATACAATGTAGTTTAGTTGCTTTTACTTTTAATTTTATATTTTATAGGGCAATGTCTATTTTTTACCCAAACCTTTTTCAGATTCTTTTATTTTAACCAAACCTATAGAAATTCTATTTATTATCCAAACGTACTATAATTTATCAAAGTCTGGGCATTCATTATGTTACCGTTACTTATTTCGTCCACGTGAGAGGTGGGATTTTGTTTTGTTTTTTGATAATCTTTTTATTAAAAATAGTAAATGATGGTATTCTGACTGCCACGTAGGAAGTCAACTCATTATGGTCATACTTAGTCAGTATTACTAACAGAAAAGTTGATGGAGAGTTAACGTTTGGATAATTTTTAGGAATTCAATAGGTTTGGTTAAAATAAAAGAATCTGAAAAAGGTTTGGGTAAAAAATAGACATTGCCCAAATATTTATTAATCGGATTAACATTGAACTTGGTAAAAGGAAATGATTGAATAATTGAAAAATGAAATTGTTCAGGAATACACATTGAAAATCCAACCCATGGTTGTCACGCCGGCCGGCGTGCCACCGGTTGTACCTGGTTCAACCGGTATCGGTCATAAAACCGGCATGATATCACCGGTATGACCGGCATGATCGATGTACGAATCTCTAAATAAAATGACATTATTTTAGTGAATTTAATTGATAAAAATTATTTTATATTTTATTTTATGAGTATAAAAGTTAAATATTGATGTTATTTGTTGGTTTCAAGTATAAATGTTTGGTATTGACGTTAAATGTCATGTTTAAATATGAGTATTTATAATTTTATTTGTAATATTCACCGGCATGAACTGGCACAAACCGGTATGTGCCACCGGTTGAACCATTCCACTTGCTAAACCGGCACACTGGCATAAACCGGTTTGACAACCTTGATCCAACCCCAACAGCTTTACTCGATTGAGGTGTCTTCGTGTAAAATCAACGAAGGTGGGAGTTATTCATGAACACACAGAAACTTATATCTACATAGTGTCTCACTGAAACAGACGAAGCTCGTTCCCAAACAAATATTTACAAGCTACTCAAAGTGACATATGTACTTGCTCTTTCATCTTCATGAGAGCCACTAATTACATACATTACTGACAATTCCAATCACCGTCATCATTCTTCAGGGCGAAAGCTTACGAGGTTAGGGAGATCGAAAGACCGAAGCTTCTCGATGTCACTGGCCGTGACCTTGCACGATTCCATGCTCAATGACTTTAAACTCTTCAATGGCTTCAGATGCCGCAGACCAGCAGCTGTGATTCTTGAATTCGAGACGTTCAACGATATAAGTCCAGTCAATCCTGCATGCATGCATTGTAACACCACCAGAGCATTCAATTCTGTTTTCTGGGAAATAAGGAGTTGACTTCTATGACACTTCTGTGTGGATCTTAATACCTGAAATTAATTCCAGTGATCTATCTGTTAGGTTGCAGTTCTGTGATAGATTCAGGAGTGACAGAGAGGACAGCTCTTTGATGTTCTTAACCCCAGCATCCGTTAATCCTCCACCGCATATCTCCAAGGAACAAAGATTTTTGAAATCTGTAAGAAGATGAACTCAGATATAAGTGCAAATGAAGAACAACCCCAAAGCGAACACATTTTAAGTCAAAAGGTAGAGAGCTAAGATGGCTGTCATAAAGCTTCGAGTTTACAGCCAGCAGCAGAAGTCACATTCAATCCTACTCTCTAATATCACCCTCATGGGTACATTTAGGATGCAGGGATTAGAAAGTACTTACTTTTTAAGTACGATGTCCCAGAATCTGTAATACGAGCTCCAAAGAGATCCAGATGAGTTAATCCAGTCAAACCTGAATTTTAAGAGCAGAAGAAGAAGCATACAGTCAGTTAATGCATCTATCTACCAACGAGACTGTCGAAGGACATCCATAACCAGAGATACTATTCCTATGAAAAACTAAAGTCACCCATATCTCTCTCTACATCGAACTTACTTGTAAGGGCTGCAAGTCCAGTATCTGTTATTTGGCGCGCATCCAGATTGAGAGATTTAATAGATGTTAATCCGGACAGTTCTCTTAAACCACAATCAGTAACCATGGTGAAAGACAGATTTATGCTCTCCAAATTATGCAGGCCTACAAAATTTTAGGGTAAACAATTTAGTAATACAAGTTGTTAGTACAGCATCCAAGGGAAATAAATGAGCTTCAAGAATTTTAACCAGTTAGGTGGCGCAGCCCCTTGCTTCCAACTTCAGTATCTGACAACACTAAGCATTTCAAGTTCTTCAGACCTAAAACCATCAAGATAATGGCATCAGAAATTAACTGAAATGCAGGATATATCTAGACTCGCTATGCTTATCAAGTAAACATTTTAGTTAATTGAAAAACGACAGAGAAACACGGAAACAAGCCAATCCAATTAACCTTTTAAGTTCTCCATCCCATCATCGTTGATCTGGCAAGAATCCAAGTTCAAGCTCTCCAAAGCTGTTAAACCTGCTTCACAAAGGTCCCACATGAACAAGAGATGTGAATTCTTAACTTTCAATTAGAATACAAAAAGAAAGATAATCATAATTAGTATGCACCCATATACTGGGCATGAACATTTCCACCAGCGAAGTGTGGAACAAAGAAAAAACAAGAACTGAAATTATAGTCTGGCCAGAATCATTTCCATCATTGTACACTCAACGATCCCATCAAAATGTGAAATGTCAGCCTCAATCAACTGATACTCTGTCAGTGTATTAAATTCCTTTTGAAATGCGATTGCCTCTCTGTGTGTGCGTGCACAGTTGTTACTACCATTGATATGAATCTTTAAACTGCTATATTCACAGGCATGCTAATATAGATATGAATTGAGGTCGTTCAGAATAGTATATGGCTTGAGTAGAACTAGGAAATACCTTTGAGGTGCACTAAACACGCATCAGTGATGTCATTGAAGCCCAAATTTAGAATCTTCAATTTTGCGAATTCTGCTCAACAACACAGTTTATAAGATAGGATCACAATCCAATCGCCAGCTAGTGTCATTCATTCACGAAGAGCCAAATCAATGTGAACAATATTAAGGTGAACTTACTTGAAAATTTCTGACATCCAGCATCAGATAGATGACACCTGTTTAGGTTCAGATATGATAGAGAAGCTAGCTCTGCAAAGACATGCAACCAATTATTTAAGGTCCAGATATACCAAATCACTTCCATCAGATGGAAACTCATTAACAGCTAAAGAAGACTCCAAAAGCAAACATTGGTTGTGATGCAAAAAAGATATCTGAATGTAAAAAAAAAAAAGATGAGTAGGGCAATTGAGGACGTGCCTGCGAGAAATTCCAAACATGCTGCTGTGACTGGGCAACCCTCCAAGTTAAGAAGGGTAAGGTTATGGAGCCCTGAAAATACGTAACAAAATCATAAACAAGGTAGCTTGTAGCTTATTGTTCTTCCGCTGCCAAGATCCATACAGAAAACATGTCCATCACTGCTAATGAGTACCGAAATTGTAAAAGCAAATAAGGTAAATTACCTTTCAAGCTAGATATACCCATATCCGTAACCCTGCTGCAAGAAATTTGCAAGCTCTTCAAGCTAGTAAGCCCTGAAACAACAACAATCGAGTACTTTCAGGTGGATGACAGAACGGCAGAGTATTTATAATGCTGTTACACTGAAAGATTACATAATATAAATCAGGATTCACTAATTTATACACTTTTCAGGTTCATCAACTTTCCAACAGCCTTGGTCATATACTACATCTTAGTCTCATCAAAAGATATACGGACCCAATCAGATCATCTCAGGCAAAGTTTGAAGAGGTTATGCAAGATGTAACATCTGAAAAAGGGGAAGTTTTTGTTGTTGTTTTTTTTTTTCTTGATAATGAAGTGCAAAGACCACTGAAGGAAAGACCATGGGTCGCTTACCAGAAAGGTGCTTCAAATCATCATCTGTGATGCAGTTGCACCAATTGATGTTAAGAGACTCTAATTTTGACAAACCTACAAGACAACATAGAGACAATTGTGCAACATTTTAGTAGCTTATAAGTTATAAGATTGGTTTAACACAAAGCATTGTTGTACGAAGCAAAAACCACATCTGTTTTCAGTTACGGAGTACAACTCAGAAAAGTATAACAAGCAACTCTTCTACCGATCACAAACATAAAAGGATGGAGCAAGGATTGGAAGAAGTTCGACGTGTACCATTGAGGTGAGCAAAACCACCCCCAACGCCAGGACACCTCTCCATGTCCAATTTAACTAGGTTTTTTAAGCCTGAAACTGCCCTCATTCCCTCTGCGGTAATTGCATTGTTTCGTCTGAAACTCAAGCTTGTCAAGTTTGAGAAGCCTTCTACAAGCAAACGAAAAAAAGTATAAGAGAGAAGAGGCAGAAGGATACCAATACAAAAGGACCTTAGAAGAAACAAGAAGAGACGGGGAAGAGTATTGGCAGAAACATAATTGCCGAAGATCTAAAAAATGGGAAAAGAGAATCTTTTTTAACAAAATCTAATGCAACTGAGTGATGAACTCTCTCCATCAAATATTAAAGAACGTTCCTACGAAGATTATTGTTTACTGTCTATAAGTGGCAGCTAATGTTGATTCATTCGGAAGGAGCAAACCAACATACATTAACATGCTTGAAAAAAGAGAGAAAGAGGTTACCTCCAATCTCCTTAAGCCCAAGGTCAGAAAGTCTCTCACAGTAGTCAAGACCGAGACTTTCCAGGTTCTTACAGACTCTTAAATAACTGAACCCAGAATCAGTCACATTCGAACCGGATACATCGAGAGAAAGCAACGACATCCCCTGCGACGAGATGACATCCATCCAATAGTCATTAACTCCTGGATAGTCTACCAAGTGAATATCCTGCCGCACAGCACAAACCCATCAACAAGTGGAAACAATGAAATGCCAAATGGATTTGTTAAACAATCTGATACACCACACTCGTTTAAGTACATCGCCAATACCTGGAGGGCGCAATCCCGAAATGCTTCAAGAGAAACATCAGTTAGACGAAGGGAATACACCAATTCGTTGAAGATCTCTTGGCTGATGTCCCTTGGGAGCATGTAAAATGTGCCGTGGTTATCTATATCCTATTGAAAAAGTACCACGGAACTCAAAAATCGTTAGCCATTATCATCCTGTAGCAAAATAAGGAACCCAAGTCGCAGCCGGAAAGCAGAATATATATACCTCACAGATATTTTGGATGCAGAGGTCCAAAAGGGGAGGAGGGCATCTGCTGCTATTCTTCTGGCCTTGTGAATCATTTCCGCCCAGTTTGGGAACGGAAGTTACCAACCATTTCGAGCTTCCATTCTTGCTAAATTTCCTACAGAGCCTCCCGGCTGGACTTTTGTTATCTTCCCTTTCCAACGCCCCTCTCTTCCTCGAACAAGACCCACCCATTTCACAGCTCCAATAACTTGATCGTACAAACTCTGTGAAAACGAGAAAGGACGATGTACAAGAAAGAAATACAATCAGCCCACATCTTCAAATCAAACGACTATATCCCCCCCATTTCATTTATAACAATATAATAAAACCAATAAATGCAATCGATCATGTGAATTGAGGCCAACGCCGACGACCGGGAAATAAATATGGCAGAAACAACAAAGCAAAAACCAACGGACGCCACCGGAATTCCAGTCGATAAAGATAATTACCTTGTCTGATTACGATGGTGGATCCACGGGACGAAAGAATCGATGATTTGATTTCCTGACTGTTGTGATCGGCGAAGGAGATGTTCGATTCAATTGAGAGAAGAGAGTGAGTCGGGGAGCGACGCAAGTGCAAAATAAATAGAAGGGGAGGAAAGAGATGGCTGACTGTGACGGGATTGCGGGAAACGGGATAGGCGTATGGTGGCCACGTGGACGGAGAAGTCGGGAGGTCGCGAAATGGAGCCCGCTAAAACGGAACGGAAACCAGTGAGCGAGAGAGGAAAGCGAAGGGAAAGGGATAAGAATCAGATAAGAACGAAGGAGAAGGAAGGTGGGAAACATGTGGGACCCACCCAGTTGCTAGTTGGCGGGCTCGTCGGGATTCATTCAATTCAATAAATATCTATATCTGAGAAGTCTGGTGTCTGTCAATGGACGATATATTTTGATGGGCTGGGTTTGGGTCCATGGGGCAGGCTTTTGCGAGTTGGTGATGGATTCTTTCCCTCTTTCCTCGTCAGTCCTTGGAACAAGGCTGAAGCCTGAAGGCACTTCTTTGATTTATCCATTACGCTAGACCTGGGACCCGTTGGAGATTAAAGTATTCTTTTTGAAAGATAGATGCTATTGCATTGGGAGGAGTTACGGTGCTATACAATAGTTAGCACCGTCCTAACCAAGGGAAAAATTACTACTAGTTTGAATTAGTAGTGATTTAGCTTAGATGTTGTATTGATTTTATAATAATCCGTAGTGATTTCGTTGTTTTTAGTAGCGTTTTTTGCTAATCCCATCCCTATTGCATTGCATCCTTCCTAGTTCATCGTAGTACAATCAGATTCTAAATCCGGATTGCTCATATCGTATAGATTTGTGCCAAAGTTGATAATATGCCTTTTTCTACAAAGGTTTTCGGCTATGAAATTACATTTTTATATGCACATGATAAGTTTTCACTTTCCATTCTCGATTTTAGAGTATTTTTACTTACTGGGAAATGAGGTCACGTAAGGTTGTCAACCCTGCAGCTTCTGATGATTAGTGATTGAGCTTTTTCTGGGTTTTAGAGGCTTGCTTGTACCTTCCTCAGACCATCTTCAATAGGGAGCTAAGAAAGTCAAATTTTGGAGGCTATTATTGTCAAAAATGCGAAAGTTATGGCTATACAAGTGAATTAAGCCCTAAAAAATCAAAAGTTTCATAGTTGGTTTTTTTTTGTGTTGATCTCCATTAGTGTAAGTTTCAACACCTTAATTAGATTATTTATTCATAATTTTATATGTGTAGCTATAATTAACTAAGATGAGCATTTTGATGTAATTTTTTTAATTTGGATATTAAAAAGATTTTGACTTCAAATATGACGTTATCAATGAAGAAAACACAATAATAGGTTTAGATGGTCATAGATTCATCACATGTTTGTCATATTGAGTTGTGTCATCAACTACTCATCCTACTTTTGTCAGATTAAGTTGTGCCATCAACTGCTCAACCAACGATTGTTAGATTTAATTGTGCCATCAACTGATCAAGCAACTTTAATCATAATGAGTTGCGATATCAACTATTCATTCAACTTTAATAATAATGAGTTATTGCAGAAGGAATCAATTCGTCTTTCTATAAATGAACCCTCAAACATTACCATTCTACTCATCCACCATTAAACATCCTTTCTTGCAAAAAGCCATTCAACCTTCCCTCTGTATGTCTCTCTTGTTAAGCAACCACTCCTGCATGGGTCACGTATACTGCATGGTTCTCGTATATGTGATGTTGGCTTTGGCCCAATGTAGTCTTCGAGCCTTTATCGTGGATGGACTACGTGTGTGAACACAATCAATGCACCTTTCGACTTCTTGAACAACGATAATTACACGGTCCACTCCTCTCCGAACAATGTTCGAACGAGGGTGTTTGATGTTTTTTTTATGATTTTTTGTGAACAATCTACGTTACGTTACTCTACTCCTATGGAGGTTCAGTGAGAGCTCCGAAAAACTAAAAGGCAAGTTGCAGAGAAAAGATAAATTTTGACATGTGTTGTCAAATGTTTGGTTGTGGAACCCTTTTACAATTTTAGTTTCTCTTATTTATAGTCATCGAGTGTAACTGCCTTTGTAATCGCTAGCTGGCTTGCTGCTCCAAACTTCCTCGGGGTCCTTGTTGCCGCCTTGGTGACTAGTTGGTAACCGTCACCCTGGGGGCCCTTGTCCCGTCTTGGGCTGGTGGGTACTTGATGGCCTCGATGTCGGGTCGGATTGTTGTTGATCCTTGTCGCCTTGTCGCCTTGTCATGACTGGATGGGGTTGAGGCTCTTGCCTTAGCCTCCATGAACCATGATGAGGTCTTGATCTCACCCTCGACTGCTTGATAACTCCCCGCTCCTGAGTCCGCTACCACCTCATGACATCAAATCCTTCTCATTAACTTGTTGGTTGTTACCAAGCCGTCTCATCGGCTTGATACCTTCTGGAATGCCACCAAGCCCATGTAATCAACTTGACACCCCTTGCTACCAAGCCAGCTCTGGTGGCTTGGTATCCATACTTAGTTTTTGTAGCCTCATCAAGTTGGTAAATTACACCCTGTCGGCTTGGTACCCCGTTAGGGTGCTACCAAGCCCGTCTTGGGACTTTGTCTCCATATGGCCCCATAAGGCCATACATGGCTCTTTGGTACCTAGTCGGGTGGCTACCACCTCATGACATCAAATCCTTCTCATTAACTTGTTGGTTGTTACCAAGCCGTCTCATCGGCTTGATACCTTCTGGAATGCCACCAAGCCCATGTAATCAACTTGACACCCCTTGCTACCAAGCCAGCTCTGGTGGCTTGGTATCCATACTTAGTTTTTGTAGCCTCATCAAGTTGGTAAATTACACCCTGTCGGCTTGGTACCCCGTTAGGGAGCTACCAAGCCCGTCTTGGGACTTTGTCTCCATATGGCCCCATAAGGCCATACATGGCTCTTTGGTACCTAGTCGGGTGGCCACCTCAGCTAGCCACCATGCCTTAGTAGAATTTCTTGACTTGTTGGCTTGATACCCTGATGTCTGGCTATCAAGTCCGTCTTGGCCCCCTGTTGCCTGTCCACCAAGTCAGTCTTACCGGCTTGATACCCCCTTGGGGTCATGATACCAAGGGGTATGATACCCTGTCGCTTTGCTTGGCTGCCAAGCCGGTCTTGCCGACCCCGTTGGCTTCATACTTAGTCAAATTCATGATTTTCATGTCTTGGTACCAAGCCTGCCTTGCCGGCTTGGTACCCTCTTGTTATGGCCATGTGATTCCATACTTAACAAATTTTCACCTCGACATCATGCTTGAAACCCTAGTGCTTGACCCCCTTGGACGGTGTCATGCATGACCCCCCTGGTGCAAGGTAGGTAGATGGCATAGTGCTTGACCCCCTGGGATGATGTCATGTCTGACCCTCCTTGTGCTATGGGTCTCAACACTTAGCCAAATTTTGGCTCTCTTTGCCACCACAGCTAGCTCGCGTCTCGTCATACTCGACTCACCTTGGATGGTATCATGCTTGACCCCCCCTGGGATGATGTCATGCATGACCCCCCTTGTGCTTGACCCTCTTGGACGGTGTCATGCATGACCCCCCTTGCGTGATGTCATGCTTGACCCCCCTTGTGCCATGGGTCTCAACACTTAGCCAATTTTCGCCTTCTTTCCCATCACGGTCTAGCGCGATGACCCCTTTGCATGACATCATGCTTGACCCCCCTGGGATGATGTCATGCTTGACCCCAGTTGGACGATGTCATGCATGACCCCCTTGGACGGTGTCATGCATGACCCCCTTGTGCTGTGGGTCTCAACACTTAGCCTAATTTTGGCTTTCTTCGCCTCATCATGTCTAGGGGTTATTACCCGCGAGGTAGGTTGGCGACTGGTGGAGCGAAATTTTGGCTAAGTATGATGGGGTGCCCACTTGGGTGGTTGATGTTGAAGGGTGTCAACGCTTGACACTTGACCCCTCTTGCGTGACGGGTGGGTGTTTGGTGGGTCAAATAGTGTGTGTTGAGGTACCTGGTATGAAACCCAAATTACCATCATTTAGGCCCAGCTTAAACCAATTTAATTAATATGGTTAAGTTGGCCTTATAAATCACTACCACTCCTTGAAAATAATCAATGTGGTATTGAGTGATTTTTTAGTGGTAAACATGAACCTAGGGTTTTGTCGTACCCTAGGGTGTATATAAGGAAGTTATTTCGGTCATGTAACCTAAGCAGACATTGAAGCCTAATACAATTATCAGCTTTGAGAGCATTAAAGCTCTCTCGTGGATTAGTCCTGAGATAATCAGAGATACCACGTAAATTCATTGTCTCCGCTATTTTAAGTTCATTATCATTATGTCTAACATGGTATCAGAGCAAGGTATCGATGATTCTGAACGTCTTAGTATTCGTCTGGATTCGAGGAACTATGCAACTTGGGAATTTCAATTCCAAATTTTTATCGAAGGTAATGGATTCCTTCCGATTCTCGAGGGAACCGCGAAGAAGCCATCTATTCCGCCTGCCACAGCTTAGGAGCTTGATCGATGGACTGTGAGCAATGCACGAGTCAAATCATGGATTTTGGGTTCGGTGGATACCAACATTGTCCTAGGGATACGTCTTTTCTCCACGGCTGCTGAGATGTAGGCGCATCTTGTGTCAACCAACACCATGAAGGATTTGGCTCGCCGTTTTGAGATTGAAAATGAGTTAGGTCTCCTCAAGCAGGGCGACCTTGATGTGGCTTCCTACTACAATGCCTCTGTGCATTTATGGACTAAGCAAGACTTGGTTCTTGCTTCTCTTTGTCCGGATGCTCTCTCTGCGGAAGCTCATGAGGAGCGTACTCACTATCGTTTAATGCAGTTTCTTATGAAGCTGCGCCTCAAATTTGAGTCGGTTAGGGCGAGCCTTCTCAACAGTGATAATCTAAAGTTCGAAGGGGTCATCAGGCATCTCATACAGGAGGAAACCTGACTTCCCACTCAAGAAAAGCTTGATGTGCAGCCCAACGTCGAGGAGGCAGTGTTTAGCGTCAAGTCTCACTAGGAGCTGGCTGATTCAACATATGTCGTCAATCGTGCACAATTTCAGTGACAGATCTTAAACTTCGAGCTTAAGGGTCTTTACTGTGAAGAAAAAGGCCACGTTCAGAAGCTATGTCACAAATGGAACTTCTATGTGTATTGCAAACTGGTTGGGCACATCATTAGTGATTGTCAGACATTGAAGAAGAATCAAGTTGCTGGGCTACACCAATTCGATCCGAGCAGACCCTTGGACGTGTGGACTGCCCTCCTCGTGATGTTACTGTCCCTGCTGGTCCGCCTGCCTATGCTACGTAGGCTATTGATGTCGCTGGAAGCTCACTTTCTGC